AAATTTCATTTTTCGCGATTTTCTCGTAAAAAATGCAATTTTTTTTCAAACAAAATACCTCATGATTTGTTTCATGTTATGGTCTATCTATGGTTAAAATATGAGCAAAATCTATATTTTGAGCTTTGCCACGATTGTCTGGTTTTTACAGACATCTTCTCTTAAAAAAGACCATTTGGGTGTGGAGGCCATCTTTGTTTCTGAGTTTCGTTAATTGAGAGAGAAGCCATTTCAATGTAGGTGGTTTTCCGTTTTCAGATTAATGGCAAAGTAACCCATTTGAGTGTGGAGGCCATCATTGATTCTCAGTTTCGTTTATTTAGAGGGAAACCGATTTGCATGTTGGTGGTTTCTATTTTTCGTATTAATTAATCACAAAAAGAAATCAATTTGAGTGTGGAGGCCATCTTTGTTTTTAAGTTTCGTTAATCGAGGGAAACCATTTAAATGTTCGTGGTTTCCCTTTTTCGGATTAATCAAAAAGGAATCAATTTAAGTGTGGAGGCCAGTTGTTTCTGAGTTTTGTTAATTGAGGGGGAAGCCATGATTTGCATGTTGGTGGTTTCTCTTTTTCGGATTAATAAAAAATGAATCAATTTGAGTGCTAGTGCTGCCTTCACAACCATTTGAGTATCTGGAAGGGTAATATAACTTAATTCATTCCAAAATAATTCACTACGCAGAATAAATCCTTACTGCAAAATAAAAAATATGTCTAGGGGGCTTTGAGAGGGCTCAAAGATAACCCTTTATTCGCTCATCGAAGCTACGAAACAACAAATCTAAACGATTATACCAGACAATCTATATAAACTCTGAAAGGGCTTTCGTCAGCGAGGAGGAAAAATCGAAATAACACCTCTGATGCAATTATCGGAACATTAGTACTTGGAACTCAAACAATTATCGTGTTGTTCCACCTCACTTATTGCGACCCACAAAATAAAGCATTTGCATAAGAAACGGATAGAATACAAGAAAGCAGAATTAAACTAGCAAAATTGCTGATAGTAGATTAATTGATCTTGTCCTAATAAACCTAGAAATCTTTTAAAAAGAATAAAAAGAATGACAATCAGTAGTTTTATTGATCTTCTTTCCTTTATTTTTCATACATTGTCACATTAAATGCAGTAAATGATCTTAATATCCTTGTTTTTAGAATGGTTGGCAATCTCCATAAATTATCTTGCCCAAGGGAAGCTTAACATCTCAGAAACTCTCCTATTCTTTGAAAAAAAACAATTGTAAGCAAAAAAATACCCCGGTGTTATCTTTTTAACGTTCGGAATAAAGAAACACCAATTCATTGCGTTGCTTATCTGCGAATCATTGATTAACAGGAAATGTTTTCTTTTTCATTAAAAGGTTTTTAATGAATGATGGAATTTATTCCCTTTTATTTTCCTATTTTATTTTCCAATTGATTTTATTGGTTTTGAATTACAAAGGAGTTGAAACGACGGCAAAGCAAGCAAACCATCTGTCTCAGGGGCGCAACGAGCAGGGAGGGGGATGAAATAGACGATCCCCCCCCCCCCCCCCCCCCCCCGAAAGAAAAAGAAAATTTTACACTTTCAGTCATTTTCTCTTTTTTTTGTGAAAGACATTAAATATAATTTCTATTTATGCAATATTTCTTTGTTTTGCAAGACCTCCTATCTTGGCACCCAAATTTCATTCATTCATGCGCGGGATTCCTGTGGATATGGCGAAAAAGCTAAACATGTCACGCGTACGCGTGTTTATTGGCGGGTGAATGGTATATTTTTTCTCAATGGTACAAAAAGAGAAAAATGAAAGAAAAGAAAGGACGAAAAAATTTGAATGGATGTAATTAAAGTACCAGCTGTGTCATCCCATAATCGAAGATTGAGAAATGATGAACAAGAGAGATTCATATTGCGATAATCAATATTCCAATTATAAAACCGATCTTCACAAACAATACTTATTTATTAGCATAAGGAAAGGAGAAATTTTCGTCGTTAGTATTGTGTGAAATAACACTAAAGATAGAACCTAAAATGTTCAATATTTGAAAAAAGCTAAAATTAATTCAAACCGAAAAATCTTGGATTTTGTAACATTGACATAAGAGCACTTAAGAATGTACCATTAAAAACTAACAAGGATGGTTTTCATAGTTGCAGTTTTCAGTCATAATTGAGGATAAAACAAACAAGGTCATTGAGTTTATAAGCGGCGAAACCACAAAACAAATAAAAAATGAAAATAAAACAAGAAAAATATGAAGAAAGTGTATGAAATTCGAACGGAATGTTAATATAGAGCAAAAATTGACTATGATTGCCTGTAAAAAAATGATAACATTGAAAAAATCCAATTTTTTTTACTGAAGTTAAATTTAGTAGAATTAAAATAAGGCGAAAATATATCCTGAATGGTGAGAAGCTTTGGAAGTCGTTTAAGTGGCAGTAAAATTCGAAAAAGGGGACTTATCTTCCCATTTTTTCCCTGTTCTAATTCTAGTTTCGAATTTAGATTTTGAAGATTAGGAATAAAATTATAAATGGAAGTTAAAAAACCGAGAATAGAGAAAAATATTTTGGTAACGAAGGAAGCCTGTAAAGTGTCAGTGGGCTCCCAAAAATTCAAGAGCTC